TAAACATCTTTCTGGTATTCTTTGCCTTGAGCCAACATCCATCTGACAGCAGCTATGAGATCCCTTGTTCCATGTCCTCTTCTGAATCCCACTTGCACATCTGGAAATTCTCTGTCAATATACTGCTGAAATCGTTTTTGAATTATTTTCAGTAAGATCTTACTTGCGTGTGACATTAATGATATTGTGTGATAATTTACACATTTTGTGAGATCACCTTTCTTTGGAATGGGTACAAATATGGATCTCTTCCAGTCAGTTGGTCTGGTAGCTGTCTTCTAAATCTCTTAGCATAACCGAGTGAGTGCCTCCAGTGGGGCATCTGTTTGTTGAAATATCTCAATCGGTATTCTGTCAATTCCTGGAGCCTTGTTCTTTGCCAATTCCTTCATTGCAGCTTCAACTTCCTCCTTCAATGTCATTGGTTCTAGATTATATGCCACCTCCTGAAATGGATGAACTTTGACCTGTTCTTTTTGGTACAGTGACTGTGTATTCCTTCCATCTTCTTTTGATGTTTCCTGAATCGTTCAATATTTTGCCCATAGAATCTTTGAATATTGCAATTTAAACTTTTTCCTCAATTCTTTCAGCTTGAGAAATGCCAAGCATGTTCTTCCCTTTGGTTTTCTAACTCCAGGTCTTTGCATATTTCATTATAGTAATTAGCTTTGTCTTCTTGAGCTGCTCTTCGAAATCTTCTGTTCAGCTCTTTTATCTTGTCATTTCTTCCATCTGCTTTAGCTACTCTTCAATCAAGGGCAAGTTTCACAGTCTCTTCTGACATCCATTTTGGTCTTTTCTTTCTTTCTCATATTTTTAATGACCTCTTGCTTTCCTCGTGGATGATGTTTTTGATGTCATTCCACAATTCTTCTAGTTTTGGTCACTGCTGTTCAATGCATCAAATCTATTCTTTGGATGGTCTCTAAATTCAGGAAGGATATATTCAAGATCATATTTTGGCTCTCTTGGACTTGTTTTAATTGTCTTCAACTTCAAGTTGAACTTGCATATGAGCAGTTGATGGCTTGTTCCACTATCAGCTCCTGGCCTGGTTTTGGCTGAAGATATTGAGCTTCTTGCCACAGATGTAGTCAATCTGATTCCTGTGTGTTCCATCTGGTGAAGGCCATATGTACAGCTACTGTTTGTATTGTTGGAAAAAGGTATTTGCAATGAATAAGTCTTTGACTTACCAAATTCTACCATGCGAGTTCCAGCATTATTTCTGTCACCAAGGCCAAATTTTCCAACTACCAGTGATTCTTCTTGTTTTCAACTTTTTTAATTCCAGTCACCAGTGATAATTAACATATCCTGATTGCATGTTTGGTCAATTTCAGACTGTAGAAGTTGATAAAATTCTTCAATTTCCTCATCTTTGGCTTTGGTGGTTGGTTCATAAATTTGAATAGTAGTCTTATTAATGGATATTCCTTGTAGGCGTATGGATATTATTGTATCACTGACAGCATTGTACTTAAGGACAGATCTTGAAACACCCTTTGTGATGATGAATACCATGCCATTCCTCTTCAAACTATCATTCCTAGCTCAGTAGACCATATGGTTGTCTGATTCCAAATGGCCAAAACCAGTCCATTTCAGCTCACTAATGCTTAGGATGTCAATCTTTATGCATTCCATGTCATTTTTGACAACTTCCAATACTCCTAGATTCATACTTCATACATTCCATGTTCCGATGATTAATGGATGTTTGTAGCTGTTTCTCCTCAATTTGAGTGGTGCCACGTCAGCAAATGGAGGTCTCGAAAGCTTTACCTTATCCATATGAGTAAGGCTAGTTTTGCTCTGATGATGCAGCTCTTTCCCGGTCCTATTTTGAGAGGCTTCTAACCTAAGTGACTCATCCTCCTCTGGATATTGGACAATCTCTCTGAACTATTCATAAAATTGTGCAGTAATGTATCAGACAGTGTTTCTCTCATAAGGTTTTCCCTGGCCAATTCTTTGAGAAGTGGATGGCCTCTTCCTTCTTCCTAGTCTGTCTCAGTTTGCAAGCTGGGCTGATTCCTGTGCACCATGTGCACCCTGCTGGGTTTGAAACACCAGTGGCACAGCCTCAAGACTCACAGCAACATGTCACCACAGTAGGACAGACAGACAAGTTTATTTTCCTTAGCTGTTGGAAACCTCTCCAACCTCTCCTTACCTGGATCCCTACAGCTGACTCCTTGCTCTGTCTCAGTCCCCCTCATGTTTTACTCTCCTATCTCCCACTTTCCTGCCTTGCCACTTTGGGGCATGGCCTGAGTTCCCTCTCCTCACCTGGATCCCTGCGGCTGACTCCTCACTCTGTCCTGGTCCCCATAGCCTTTTTACTCTCCTTCATCCTGTTTTCCCGCCTTGCCACTTGTGGGGCGTGGCCTGGGTTCCCTCCTCTCACTTGGATCCCTGCGGCTGAGTTCTCCCAAACTAACACTTACTAAGCAACAGTTAATGGTCTATGGGTATTTCCTCTCAAGAAGTCCAGTGGGGGTGGTGATGTTGCTAGTTGCCATCAAGTTAGCTCCAACTCATGGTTACCTTATGTAGAACAGAGCAAAATGGTGTTTGGTTCCGGGCATCTTCATGATCTGTGGTATGTTTGAGTCCACTCTTGTGGCTGTTCTGTCAATCTATCTCATTGAGGGTTTCCCCCATTTTCTCTGACCCTCTGCTCTGCCAGACATGATGTCCAATTCTAGCAATTGGACTTTCCTGACAATATGTCCAAAGTAAGCAAGAGATAAAGTCTTATTGTCTTGCTTATAAGGAGAATTCTGCTTGTCTGTCTCCTAAATCTGATTTGTTCATTCTTTGGCAGGCCATGGTATATCCAGTGTTCTTCTCTGATACCACAATTCAAAAGCATCAATCCTTCTTCTGTCTTCCTTTTTCATTATCCAACTTTCACATGCATATAAGGTGACTGAAAAGACCAAGGCTTGAGTCAGGAACAACTTGGTCATCAAAGTGACATTTTTGTTTTTAGGGCTTTTTAAAATGTCACTTGCAACAGAACTAAATGCAATACTTTAGTTGGTTTCTTGGCTATTGTTTTTATGCTAGCCATAGTTGGCATTTAGTACATTAAGAAGATACACACGGAATTAAAATTTAGTGTTTATTTGGAGATAAATTAACACTTTCTTTACACATAAATATTGAGATGCTTGCTTGTAAGTTTCATGACCCAAGCCTTACTACTCAGAAACCAAACTCCACTATATACTACTATATTATTAGATTGTGCCCAAAGTCCACTTTATACTTTAAATTAAATAAATATGAATTACAATTACAATATAATTATATGGAAAGTACTGACTTAGTTCTAAAAAAGGGAAAATACTCTGAATACTTTTTAACTGTATATTTTTATCTTTACATTTATTTGCTTATTTTTGGTATGTCTATCGTTTATCTACAGTTTACTTATAAAAATAGTTTTAAGATTGCTGCTAGCAGAAGCTTTGCATTTAGGATATGCTATCAGCAGCTCTATAAATACAGAAGGACAGTTGAGATAATTGCATCAGTGACCAATGTAGTACATACAGTGCACATAGTGCATAAATGGGCAAATGTTTACTTTTTGAGTTATCATGGGAGCCAAGATAAAAAATAAATAAAAATAAAAATGTTATACAGTTTCCAATATATCATAAATGCAAATAAAACCATTCATCCTGAGAATCAAGCATTTTTAGTCTAGTACTTTCTAAAGTAAAACTTTCATCAAACTGGATACTTAAACTGTATCCAGTATTAAATTGTATTGATTGTGAAATTGTAAGAGTTTGTTTTCAGTATAGAGTTTTAAAATTGGAAACAAAGTGCTTTTTAAAACTTTGATTTAAATTGTACATAATAAAATAAGGCAGTATTATACTGCATAGAAATTCTGAGAAATACTTACACAGAGGGTGAAATAATAAATTACTTGTCTAGTGATATACTTGGTAGAATAAAAAACAAAGAGCATACTATTATACTTTCTCTTAGATTATCACCATTAAATGGCTTCTTTAGCATTTTGACAAGCACTATGGAGGAGAAAATTGAAATTCATCAATTGTTTTATTAAAAATTAAGAGTTGGCTAATTGAAATGTCCCTTGAAAGGATAATGTTCATGTTGATGATTTGATTTAATTACAAATAAAAGGAGTTAGTCATAAATGACCTTTCCTCACTATTTGCTCTGAGTGAATACTGACCCACTTTTCAGCTTGAGCAGAGCTTTCTTCACTTCCTTGTTCCTCAAGGTGTACACAACAGGGTTCAGAAGCGGGGTCAGTACAGTGTAGAAAACTGCCACCACTCCATCTACAGGATCCTTGGAACCCGGTCTCAGATAAATGAAAACACAAGGAACAAAGAAACAGAGGACCACGATGCAGTGGGAGGCACAGGTCTGGAAAGCTCGGTGTCTCCCTGCCGAGGTACGAATCTTCAGGATGGAGCAGATAATGGATGAGTAGGAAAGCACTATCAAGAGGAAGCAGCCCGAGGCCACTATCCCAATGTTGACAAAGATCACCATCTCATTGACAGAGGTGTCTTCACAGGCCAGTTTGAGGATTGGTGGTGCATCACAGAAGTAGTGCTGGATCTGATTGGGTCCACAGTAGGGAAAACGAAATGTCAATATTGTCTGAACAGCAGAGTGCAGAGAGCCACTGAGCCAAGTGCTGGTGGCCAGGAGGGTACATAATCTCCCAGTCATCATGCTGGTGTACCTGAGCAGATAACTGATAGCCAGGTAGCGATCATAGGACATGACTGTGTAGAGGAAACACTCAGTGCTGCCTAGGAAATGGAAGGAGTAGAGCTGGACCACACAGCTGTGAAAAGAGATAGATCTGCCACTTGGTAAGATGAAGGTCATCAGCATTTTGGGCACAGTGACAGTGGAGAACCACATGTCAATGAAGGACAAGTTGGCCAGGAAGTAGTACATGGGGGTGTGGAGGTGGGAATCCACCCTGATAACTAGCAGGATGAGAAGATTCCCCACAACAGTGAGTACATAAATCAGTAAGAAGATTCCAAAGAGGGGTGTGTCCAAAGACGGTGCATGGGGAATGCCCATGAGAATGAATGTTGTCACCAGGCTTAAATTAGACATTTCTGCTCCATATATGGATCTCTGTTCTTAAAGACGTAGCTCTGGTCAACTAGTGGTTAACTTTTGGCTGTTAACCAAAAGTTAGGTGGTTCAAACACACATAGAAAGATGTGATAGTCTGCTTCAGTGAAGGCTTACAGCTTTGGAAACTCTATGGGGCAGTTCTTCTCTTTCCTATAAGGTCTCTATGAGTCAGAATCAGCTCCATGGCAGTGAGTTTGTTTTTTGTCCTTAAATAAAGGAAAGAAAATCTAGTATTTACTGATAACATATTTTATATGAAATATGATAACTACATATTACCGGATGGAGAACACAAGGGTTCTTTTAACTTTTACATAGTCCTTTGCAAGAAAGTGAGGCTTTGAAGAAGAATAGTTATTTCCTTTATTACAGTACCACATAAAATCAACTGAATAGAGAAAAAGAGTAAATTTTGCATTCTGTTTTCTGTAGAATTAAAAAGATATATCAATCCCCACCACCTATATGTCAGCTTATATTCTGGTGGCTTCTGTGTTGCTATAACGCTGAAAGCTATGCCACCAGTGTTTCAACTGGATCATGCATGATAGACAGATTTCAATGGCAATTCCAGACTATGATGGACAAGGAAAGAGTCTTGGTGATCTACTTTTGAAATTCAACCAGTAAAAACCTTGTGGATTACCATGGTCTTATCTGCAAGAGCAATCATAGGGATAGTGCAGGAGTAGGCTGAGTTATATTCCATTGTTCCTGGGATGTCCATGAATTGAAGCTGATTCAGTGGCAGCTACGAACAATGATACACCCAAACTATCAATTATCTAATAGTTGGCAAGCTCTTCCTAGTATAAAGTCTTTATTCAAGAACCTTTCTCTTTTTCTGTGTAACACACACACACACACACACACACAATATTCAAACTGCAGAGTCAGTCTTTTTGATCATCAGAGAACTATCTGTTATAAATATAAATTGTAAAAGAAATCTCCATCCTGGGTGGCTGAGAGAAGTTGACCTCTTAAAGCTTTCTTGTCAATAGCAGAACTGCCAAGGCAGAATCTGAGTAATGGTGGAGCATTACTTGAAGCCTGTCTTCCATTTCTCTGTCTTACCTCAGACCATACTCACCTGGTCATGCATGATATCTCATACTAAACTTATGTAATAACAGACTACAATCACTTTTTTTTTTTACCTCCTCTCTTCTATGTTTAATTCTATTTACAAATTTTCATTATTTCTGCCTCCAGAAATTGAAGCAATCCATCATTCTCTCTCTAAGCCTTGATCAAGTCATCTCACAATATATTATGAGATGTCCAAGAAAGATTAAAACTCCTTAAGTACTAAAGAGGACAAGACTATATCTCTGGTGTTTGAGTTTCAGAAATGATTTCT